ACCGACTGCTTACTCATACTCAAGAAAACAATGCAATGTACATATTCACCAAGCAAAACAACTGATGTATTTGAAAGTCCACATTACAGTTTCGGAACTAAAGATAAACACTGACAGTCTGATTATAATTTGGATGATCTAATTCTGATTTTCATATTTTCCTTGGCGTGTGAAAAAATGCCTAAAAGAAGCCGGTGGAAAAGTGATTTGATTGTGCAGCGCCCTGTGTAGCAGACCATGCACCCAACAACAGCTAAGAACTCCCCCCCTCAAGTTAGGCCAATATTTGCACCAACAGCCTTACCACATATTCAGAAGGATCTTATGTCACTCACTGTCAGTATTCTAGGCAACCTGGTATGTGTAAAATTCCTATGTTATAATGTACATGAAAGGATTCCCTTGTTTTGGTGTTATGCTTTGTTTCCTTGAAGAAGAAGAAGAAGAAGAAGAAGAAGAAGAAGAAGCTTGATCAGATAAATCTTAAGAAAGAATAATTAAGTTGTTTTGGATATTTCACAAGATCTGTTTGGGGAAAAGAGAGAAATGGGGGAAGGGAAAAAGATAAGATATGAAGGGTAATCAAGAGGTTATGGCAAAGATAAGAAAAGAAATAAAATACAGAGAAGGTAAAAGGGAAAAAAAAGTTGACTTAAAATTTAGGAATACCCTAAATATCTGCTTCCCAAGCTGTAGATTTATAGGGAGTTGAAAATCATATAAAAACACTATAGTTACGTTTATATTGCAATAGATTTAAATGTGAAATCATGATATCACTGACATATAACAATCATTTTTGTATTGATTTGTTTCATTTCTGTTGTAGGTTTCTATGTTTAGCTTTATTGTTATTTTTTGTCCTTTCTCTGTTTCTCCTTCAAGTCATATGACTGCAAATATTATCGTAACGATTTAAATTGCAGGTCAAGTCTCAATTTCTTACAATTCTCTGGGTATGGAAAGAACATAACTCTTTTTAGAAAATCTCTTTTTAGATAACAAAAAGCTAGTATAAACCACAATCCTTTATATTTCATAGTAAATCAAACAGCTGTGTCATAAAGGATGGTAAAGAAAGCTCCTACGAAGGTGCAGTGAACGGAAGACATTCATGCAGATTCTAAATTTCCATCTAAGTAAAGACTTCCTTTAAAATTCTAATTTTATACAAAACTCAGAAAGCATGATCTCTAAAAATCCAAATACCATAAAATCATCAATACTAAGAATCTATGCTGCATGTCCTGTACCTGTTTAAGTACGACATGACTTACTAGATGCTAAGTAAATAAATTTCCTCTAATTACGCTGGTGTCCCTGAGTGATGGGGGAAGGGGGGGAGGGGCCTGACGGAAGGAAGCCAAAACTTCGAAAGGAAGCTCGGACCCTTATGGTGGTCCTGATCCTAAGCAATTGGGCAAGTCCTTAGGCATTGCATGGAGAGGGATCCTTCCTTTGATATGACCTACTGCACGGAATAGGAACCTGAATACACAGGGTGGACTAAAAACTGGGATCAGAATAACGTATAAATCTTCTGTTGTGGGAAATGGGACTCTTCGATCTGGGGCAGGATTCAAGGACTGATTCCTAAAGACAATAACAGAGTGAAGATTCAGTAAGGGCCATGAATAAAACAAATGTGCCGCACAAGCGTGGGAGTGAGTAAGACGGGATTCTGAGAGAGTACACATGTTCCCAAATGTAGGAGAAGCACACATAGTGACTCTGAATGTCGAAAGAGATCAGAAGAGAGGGATACAATATATGTGACAACTCAGGACTTACCAGGAGGAAGGTTCTCGCAAGCTGTACCCTGGTCCTCTCCGTTGACGTAGTAATGCAGCGAGCCGTCCGAGTGTCGCATCATGCCCACACGTGTGCCAACCCCCAGGGAGTCTAAGTCACACCGGTAATTGTTCATGATAGTTACACCATCTCGCATGACAGAAGACCCACTCAGCATCCAGGTATCGTAATCAATATCTGTCATGGTGCTTGGGAAGTCAATCTCTTCAGGTGGAATGGCTGTCACACCTGCAAAGACATCGAGAATTACTTTTAGGGGATGCTATGAAAAAACGTTGCAACATCATATTGTCATATATGTGTATTCTCTGGATCACCAAAATTCATTTAGTTTTAAAAACTACTTACCAGCTTCCAAGGATCCTGACCATCTGTCTACCATTTTATCTATCATAACTTCAAACATTTCCCCTTCATGTAACTGCCTATTACTGATGACTATTGCATCGTTAAATTCTCCATGGGCATTGGGGCGCTGAGCTGTTAATCCACCATTTAATATGCGTGCATTCTTTCCATGTAAATGGTGGAATCGGAGATCACTGTAAGGATCCAAGGAATAATTAATGACAATACATATATGGACACACATATCTTATCTCAAACTCCATGTCATACCTTCTAATTGACAATAATCTTCTTTAAGGTAACTTCAACATTTCCCACAAATTCTCATTCTTTTATTCCT